GAGAAAAATTTTTTTTTTTTAAAAAGCATGTTATTTTTACCAGTCTCTTTTTTGGGGATGGAAAATTTAAAAAAAAAAAAAAAAAAAAAAAACACTTAATACCAAGAAACAGCATAAATAAAAACCTCTAAATTACATACAGTATTTAAGCTCTAATATGTGGCATTGCTAATATTCAGTTCATACTATTTCTTTCTTAGTGTCTTATGAAACTTTACACATTAAAAAATATACAGTACAATTTGTTTGGAAATGTACTAATTGTGTATTGAAAGTTATTAATATTTTGTTATCTCTAGAGAAAAGCATTTAAATAAAACATTTCATAAAATAAACTTGGAGTTTGATGTGTATTTAGATCGATTTTTTGGGTTGCAGAGGACAAATAATATACACAAACCTGCAAATGAATACTCAAACTCAAATACAGAATAATGTGTGACACATGTTGTAAATTCTCATCAAATATTCTCTTTAAACTAGGGCTCAACAATGTTGATTGTATCTTTAACCCATATTTTCTCCGCTTTGCTCTTACTTTTCAATCAGCACAAAGCTTATTAACCAAGCTTTAGCATCTTTGTAGCGAACACATATTACTTTTATTGTCAATAAATCACAATAGAAAACTAACTATTTAACGAATTAGATATCTTACTGGCAAACAAAGTTTGAATTCATGCTGCCTGAAATATATTACCTTACTAAATAGTACGCCCAACAGTTAGCAACTGATAATGTACATGCTTTAATCCTGATAGATTTTATTTAATTGATCTGGTTTAAATATAAACTAAGAACATAATGGGATAATGCTGAATATGATATCCAAAAGAGGAAATACCAAAAGCTTAAAATGAAATGTTACTAAGGTTTTAAAAAAATCTACATTACTTCAGGGTCTTTTTAAAAAACACCAGATGTGAGCAACAAACCAGAAAAGGTCATAAGGACCTGAGCTGGAAGAGAATTAGATCTTCCTTCAAGACAAGAACCTTACTGATTTATAAGGTGTCTACTGATAAAAAACAGCAAACAACGAAAGAACAACATGTACTCCGCTTGACACAGCCCTATTTTTCAATAAGAGAAATGGTAGAACTTATTGCCATAATATCAAGTGTGCTCATGTACGTAGCATGAGGGCACCAGAACTCAGACACAGCAGAGGAAACAGGCCTGTATTATTAGTATGATTGAAAAGAAATGTTAAAATGAGCCGCCAACAAAGAACAGAGGCTGGCTGCACGCTGCAGAGGACAGCGCCTCACCTCTGTGTGAGAACATGAGAGTGTGAGAGAAACACACTGTCTGTATATGTCAGAGTGTGTGCCCATGCTTTTTTATTTTTGTGCATGAATGTTTGTGCACGTGAATATATGTGTGTGTGTGTGTGTGCGTTCACCTAAGCTTGAAAAGACCGGTCCGTACTTTGGGGTTTGTGTGTGTGTGTGGCCTGAATATGACCCAAACCCAGAGGCAGCTCAGTCATTAGAGCTGTATTAGTGCAGAGCTGCTATTACAGCGCCTACAGCACTGCTAAATGGCTGCTACTATAGACCACCACACACACACTGACACACTCACGTGTAGCAGCAGACACGTCTTGTAAAAACATTCCCATGCACACCAACTTCTGCGTATTAAGGCACACAGTTTGAACACAATGTCAGACAAATTAAATTTATAGGCAGCAGGTTTTTCTGGTTGCTCTGTGCACCTTTTCCTGTTCAGTAACCTATCAAAGGAAACCCAACAGTGTCTGTAAGTCACTGAATGTGTTTGTAATTTTAACATTCATTGCCTATGCCCATTTATAGTTATAATTAGAGAGATATTAACCTAATTTGGACAGCATGAGGAATCCGCAGTACCCAGAGAGAACTCATGAATATAGAAAATAAACCAAGGCAACAGTGCTGCCAACTGTACCACTGTGCAGCCTAATTTAACCAATGTTAGAAACAACAAATAGTTATTCAACCAGTTCTTGTATACTTGTACATGCAATGTCTTTGCTCCATTTCTGAATTTCTGTTAAGAATTTTGTAAACTACTACAGAAGAAAAAAAATATAATAATAATGCTAAGAAGACATGTAAAATTATGTTTGTGGAGTTTTGAATTTTAAATTACAGAAGTTAAACTTCTGCTAATGTAAGATTATTGTCCAGCTTAACTATGAGCTCTATGCAGTGGCCGGGGAGAAAAAGGGAATCCCCCTTCAAGAAGCAATACAACATCCCATTCATTCAAGTCATACAACATTCATTAGAGACTGAACCTCTGAAGTTTCAGTGCCATCTAGTGGAGAAATAACACACAACAGGAAAGAAGAGGAGGGTTTTAGTTATGAAAGGGGCAGTGTATTTTTTTTGTTGATCGATTTTGCTTTAAATAACTATCAAAATAAATGTATAGATTCTGAGCTTAGGCCTGAATTTCAGACTCAAAATTATTACTTTAATGGGGTTTATTTGAAAATACAATTTAGATTAATTTACTTGGGTTTAAAGTGCTTGAAATGTGGGCTTCATGCCTGGACAGGAAAATGCACTTCATACATATAAAAGCTTGATTTTGTGCGAGACCTCGGTTGACATATCCAAGACCTGCTCCACAGTGTTGTAATACCAGAAAGTCCATACAGACAAAGTCACATTCATTGGTTTGTGGCATGCACGCTGCACGTGATTTGAGTAAATGCTGAGGTATTGGTTTTAATGAGCCCAGGCTGCTCTTTCTATCAATCAAATACACACTTCCACACATGCACACGCACACATCCAGGCTCTCTAAACACAAAGTGAATGACAGGCTCATCATGCCAGGCCACAGTGTCTGGCAACAGCTCTCTTCACACACACACACACACACACACACACACACACACACACACACACACACACACACACACACACACCTCGACAATAAAGCCTTTATTTCAAAAGGTCATTTTCTGTACTTTAAAGGGGGTTCCCTGTGCGTCTGTGTGCACGTGAGTGTCTGTGTGTGTGTTTTCCTTGGGCACTGACTAACTGAGGGCTTTCCCCTACTTGTTTTTTCCGAGAGTCCGGTGAACTAAAGATGGAGCAGTTGTATGTGCCCTCTCACTCTCCTTTGCTCCTTGCACACAGCTTAAAACTTTCATGTATTTGTCAGGTGCTGCCACCACCCCTTTTATAGAAACACACACATCACACACTCATGCACATTTATTCCAATAAAGGAAAGTATACGGGACATTCAGCACTTACTTTGCACATCTAGAGGTTAAAAGTTTTACCCCTTTTTTTTCACAAAACATCTCAAACTCAGTCAAATTGAATTGAGAGCCTCAGTTTCTCCACATCTTTTTTTTTTTTTTTTTTTTATGCATTTACTCTGGACTTTGACTGAGCCCTTCCCGACTGAGCCCGTTCTGTTTTCTGTGTATCACCCTGTGTTTATTTTCATCCATGTCCCAATCAACTCCGAACAGCTTCCTCGTTTTGGCTGAAGAAAAGCGTTCCCACGGCGTGATCAGGGTAATAGGGGGGAAAAGTGATGACAATTGTAGAGACCCTGACCAACAGGGCTCTGACCCTAACCCTATATAATTTATTTAGTTTTTGTTCATAGAAATAATAAAAAAATACAAAATCGGGGCCGTGTCAATTACAAAATTAATCATATTGTATTTTCAAAGATTGTTTTTGCAGTAAAAAATGTATATTTCCACTCCCAGACACACATCCATATTTGCCCTGTTTTAATAAAAGTAGAAATGGAAATTTTAAGAGAAAGTACTCAGTAAATATAAAGACACGCTCTTTTAGTCTCTACCAGAAAAACGTTGGAGTTAAAATCTACAGCAAAAAGTTGTGGCGATATTTCTTCAGCAGCAACTACAACCCAGAAGGATACAAAGCAGATCATGTGACTACCTGTGACTCCTCCAAACGTGCCATACGTCATGTTGCAGGCTGTTCTTTGCAGGTTATGCTCATACACTAACTTCAACTGGTACTGATCTCCATGTTCCACATTACCTGAAGAACCTGAGCAACAAGGAAGACAAAAACAATATGTGCTTACTAAGCATGGATGGTGAAAATTATATGATTAGTAGCTGTGTGAAGGTGTCTGTTACCTGTCACAGAGTAAACTGACAGCTTTCTTGGGTGAAGAACAGCCAGATGAAGGAGGTCTGAACACCTAAAAGAAATTTTATTGAAAAATACCATTGCAGTTACATAAACACTGACTTTTGAATAAAAAATAAAAACTGAAATATGTTATTGATCAATGTTTTGATCTTTAGAAGCTCAAATCTTAAAAGACATTTGTCTAGGGAGACAGATTCAAACAAAACAGTTCCAGTTAGTTGTAAGTTGGATAAGAAGTCTCTAACAATAGGCACAGACATGCAGGCCCAGCAGTTCTGTCCTCAGATATTCCAGAAAGGCAGATGCTTCCTGCCTCTGTGGTAAAACTCATGTTTTCAGCCTCAGGATGGAATCCAGACTTATTTTAACATTCACTTGTAAAATAATTACTTCAACAGCTGGTCCATTTTGTTTTAAACACTGCTTACAGTTATGTGGTAGGTGATATTCCAGTGAAGTTAATCCTAGTTTTTTATATAGTTCACCACAAAACCACAGAAAAGTCCTCTTTTTGAACTCAGCAAAGCAAAAGCAGCTTTTCTAACTTTCAATAACTCTTTATTTCTCTTTATTTGTTTTGCATGTGGGGGCAACAAGGAAGTAAAAATTGGATCCCAACCCTTGAAAATTGACCTTGTCAGTGCTGAAACAAAACATTTTACCATCTGCCCACCTCGGCCTGACTTCCACAGCATTCCTCAACGACAACCTCCAAAACGCCCTGCAGCCTCTGAAGAGTGTTGTCTCAAAAAAAGCCACATGTTGAAAAAACATAACATGTTCCAAACAGACTGATTTAGTTGGATTTTGCCCCCAATGTGATGATGTGGGAAGGCTTCGATATAAACCACAGCTTTTCCAAGAATGGCTGTTCCTGCATCGCCACAAAAACGCCATGTGAGGTAGTAGTACCAAAAATAAAGGCAAAACAGGGAAGCAAATCTGACAGTTGTGTCTGAGGCCAACATATTGATAAATTTCTTGTAAAAATCCAAAGTATTTACAACTCCATACAACTCTGAAGTCTAACAAGCAGGAACTGTATTTACTTTTAGCCAAGATATATTGTTAGAAAGTGTATGCTTACATTCCAGGAGCAGCACAGTATCTGAATCAAATAACAAGAAATGTGACATAAAGGCCCATTTTTTACTAAGACATGACAACAAGCTATTAAGCATATGCAAGTTGATTTTCATAACCGCAAAAATAAAATAGCTTTTATCTTAAACTTACACCTATCTATAGTCAGAGCAACAGCTTCAAAGTTTACAACTTCTGGAAGTCTGATAATAGGGGTGGATGAAAACTAAAGTTTATATTCCCACTACGCACATTGAGCAAGCTGCAAGGGAGGTAAAAGACATTTTGCATAGAAATGACCATATATGAGTCAGATGAAAATACAATTGAGTGTTTTGTACAAAAAGTATGAAAATATGAAAAAGCGTCTCATGCCCACTAATATGTATCAAGCAGTAAATCAAACTTTATCTGAGCACTTTACATACAGCTAAGTGTAACACAAAGTGTTTTGCAGACATTAACATGCATAAAACCATTAGGCAATACACAATGATCAAAGTAAACAAAGAGAGAAAACCAATAATCACAATATTTAAAATATTAATATTAAAACAACAATGACATACAGGTATGGTGATATTTAAAGCCCCAGAGAGCAAAGTTTTACTGCTAGCAGTAAAGCTTGTGAAAAACAACATTTCTGACAGTTTAAAAATTTTTCAACCATGCCTGTGACTTCATTGCAGAGAGAAATGAGTGAGAAGACCAGCATCCAGTGATGCACCGCTCTCATTTATTCAGTTAGCAAATGCATACGTTAATCATTGTGATTCACTCACATTAGACACAACAATGTATGGAAGTTGGATATGCGAGTTACGAAATAAATCTCCTGAAACCTCAAGTTTGCCCTCAAACGACACAGAAAATACTCCAAATGAGGCAAACATTCTACACAATGCATCACCCCATGTTCCTTTTTACTACTTGATGTGGGTTCAAGGTAAATACTTACGAGACGAACTTCCCAACTTCCACCTGAATAATGGCATTTTGAAGTTGAACTTCAAGGAGCTGTGATTCGGCCATGCCGCCATCGCTCAGCTTATTGGCATTTGGGGAGAAAATCCGCAGCATCCCCATGTAGCTGCCCACAACAATCTTGTCTGTAAGACAGTTAATAAGACAGAAGGGAAACAGAAATTACTACTCACTATATTTATGCAGGCTTTTATAAGGTGATTCTGGAGGAACTGCAGAAATATCCCCCTGAACACACCACTCTGACTCTGAAACATGGCAGAACCCTAATCTGAATACACTTTTCTTTAACAGCGACAGCTTAATGGATGGCAATACTGGAAGAAAACATGCAAACGCCTTGGTACAGTGACCTCCAGATACAGCCAGAGCAACATTAGAAAGATTATCATCAAATTATATTCATGGGTTAGAATGACAGAGTCCAGGTCAAAATACAGTTGAAAAACAAATGAGATCATTTGCTTTTCAAAAGATGCTCTCTGTCTCTGTCCTTTTTCAAAGTTTCAGTCTCAGGAATTTCAGTCTCTGACAATGTGAAGCTGGTAGAGCTATAACCCAGACCACTTGCAGATTTTATTGCAAGTGGTTCTACAAATCTTGACTCAGGGTGAATAAAAGTTTTATTTTAAAAGATTTTGCAAACCATGTATCATTTTTTAACTTTATTATTATGCATTAATCTGCACATACTGTACATCTATCATATAAAGCTCCAATGAAATTCATAGAAGTCAAGGGATGTAAAGTAATAAAATACGGAAAAGTTCAGGGGCTGTGAATACTTTTGCAATATACTTTTGTAGATACCAAAATGTACACGGATGAAACTTTGAAAATTTGTTGATAGGGGGAAATCCAGAGACATTTTACTGTTCATGACCTCAACAAAAGTATACATTCAGGTCACCATGTTGTAAAGATAAGATCATCATGACAAACTGACCATGTCCTGTACCACTGTTGTCCACATCTCCGACACACAGGCATCCCTGGTCAAATTCCTCTCCCTCACCGAGAGCAGCTGACCACCAGTCACGGGCTTTGAAAAGAGACATGGCGCCTCCAACTGGACAGAGGGAAAAACAGAGGGGGCAATCTGGATCAATGCATATGAGAAACAAGCATCTGTCTTTACACTGCAGAGAGAAATGTATCTAATTTAAAAAAAAAAAAAGTTCACACAATTAACGAGGACATATGACATTTAGGATTAAGCAAATGAAATGGAATATTTTGAATCAGCAATGCAGAGTCAGCCCTTTTGGATTTAGCTTTGGATCTTTGCTCACAACTAAGGGAACAACAGCGGCTAGTCACATGACCCAAACATTGAGCATGAAGGAGAATGAAGAAGCAACTAGGTGGGGGCAAGCAGCTTTTCTACTTGATAAGTGCTGAGCAGGTGGAACAGGCGGTTAATCCAGAGAGAGAGAGAGAATCCCTCCTATCTTCAGCACACTGACCTTAAAGCCTGAGTGGCTTTTAAAGCAAATTAGCTACAAATACCTTTTTTTCTTTTATTACAATTTTAACAACTACACTTAATTTCAACTGCTTGCAACCACAGACTTGATAAAGACAAACAGTAAATGAGTGAAGCATTTGTTTTATAATAACTGGAAGTTAGGACCATTTACATGGAGTATAAAAATGCTTGTTTTTCTAAAGTGTATTTGAAAACAAAAATCTAGTTATGTAACTATTTATTTAGCAATTCAGATATAAAAACAAAAGTTATTGTTATCCAAAGGAAACGATATATGCGCAACATTAATGTCATATGTCGTGAAATTTATAACCCTAAACAATCAGCTTTTGTTTATATGGGTCTCAATGAACTGTAAGGAACCATGACAACACTCTATTGTATGTGTAGTTAATGGCCAAAATTAACAGCACAATATTGTTAATAGGTCAACTTCAAACAATTCAGAACAACTCTGGAATACTCTCTGGGGAAGCCCAACGCACCTGAGGGTATTTGGATTCATTCACAGTTTCTTGCTTGGGAAACATAATTTTTGTGTTGTAACAATAAAAAGAATTCATGACACACATGCAGGGTCCGCTTTAATACTATGCATGAGACAGTACAACTGAACGGGAGCTATCGTCAAGCCGACTGATTTAACTTTAGCTTAGCCGCGGCTAATTAGCTCTCTATCCAAGTTCCCTGCCTATAAGCTAGTAGGTCAGGAGGAGTATCCCAATATAAACGGCATTTACCGTCATGGAAAACAAGCATTCGGGGTTGTTTCACAATTTTCTAACCTTTACAGAAGCGTTACTCCTCGTTTGTTACTCCTTCTTCACGCAAACATCACATTTCTCATCTTCTCGCTTGGAGCCATCGCCTTGTTGTCATGACAGTGACGCCAAACGGAGAAGCTGAGTTAGTGCGCAAGAACGGAAACCACGGGGTCCATGGGAAAGGAAGTTTTGCTATAACCATTTGAATAAAGACTACATAGATGTCTGGCTTTTTTTTTTTTTTTTTTTTTTTTTTTTTTTTTTTTTATAAATTATACATTCAACACATTATATTTGTATAATATATATACTTTATTCCATGTCTTTAACATAGCTTAATGTCCGAATGTAAATGCCACTTGAGACGTCATATTACATGGCTTGTAGATAAATAACACATTTGTCCTTTTAAAATAAAATGATAATAATAATAATAATAATAATAATAATAATAAACACTCTAGATCCATGTAACTATTAGTGACTCATTTTAGATTATTTATTTTAATGGAAGCAGTACAGACAGAATTTAGGTAGTTTCATTAAAAAAAATCTAACATTTCAAGACTTGAGACAGATTTTCATATCCATGTTCTTGGTTTGAATCAAAAGCCTTGCTTTTATTTTATCCCCCCCTCCCCCCAATTCTGTGTTCAACTCATTTATTTAGGTATAAAAGCTTGTTGCATTGTGTAAACAGTAAAACAATATTGTTATAGGCTTGTATGTACACAAGCTTTTACACAAAAAAGAAAATCTATCAAAAAACTAAACAGTTTTAATAGATTTAAAAGAAAATTTTACAAGTTAAACCCCCCGACCACAACGCTACTTATTGTTATAGACGTGTAAAAAGTCCTTAATTAAACTTGCCAATTGCATAGTAATCTCATGCTTGAAATTTATTAAAAATAACCATTAAAAATTATTTGTAATAAAATCGTTATACCAAAATTCCAGACAAATATGCTGCATTTTATATAATTTTATACGTTTTATGTTGTATTGCTAAATTTTAAGATCTTGAAATTGAAGGCAGATTGCCAACAAATACATCAGATAAAAAAAAAGAGCAGCTTCTTTTATTCAATAGATGTAGATTGAAATAAGACACAAACTTTTGCTATTCCGTTCTGTGATCCAGTCTTGGCTTCATGAAATTTATTGCATGTTTTATTCACAGCATCAAAGAAAACCATCAGCTTATAAAAATAAAACACACCAGTCAGAAAATATATTATAAGCAATAAAACAATATACATTTCCATATAATTTCCCACATACACAGTGTGACAGTATTCCCCATTTAAACGATAAATATGTTTTTAGTCTCCCATTTCTCAGACATAAACACTATGGTAAGAAAAGGCAACATGCAGGCGATAGCAGCACATTTAAAACAGAAACAAATCAAAAGGGAACACCATGCTGAAACAAACGGAGAACATTTAGCTTTGAAACTCCAGAAACAAAATGTCAGAGGCAGTGCTCAACTTTAACCACTGAATTTAAAAAAAATGATAAAAAAAAAACAACAATACTTGAACAGGTGTTATACTGGGTTTTACAGAACAAGGAACATTATTTTTACCCCTTTTTCCTGAAACACCTTAGATATAATCCATATAAGAATATTTATTTACAAGCAAATCTGAAAGGCGTCAACCTGTTTATACTGTTGCAATTCATTGTAGCAGCCACAAGAGGTCAGTTTCAGGTTTATACATCATCTCTAACATTCAGCAACAGTGTATTTGGGTGAATGAGCTATGCTGAGAACATCATGAATATTTCATTTGTAGAATAAAAATCTTTATTATATTCCTCCTTTGTGGATTAAAAGTATATCAAATTAGTACATTAGAATTAAATAAATATGTAAGCATACTTCTTTTTTGTACAAGACTGTTTGCAATGTCAACAAATCAAAGCTATAGCCACATCTATTTTTTTTTTGTATAAAAGAATTTAAAGTGCATTTCCCAGTTGTTGTTGTGATCCTGTCAGTTTCATATGTATGACCTAAATTCTTCATTTTTCTTTAGAAATACTGTTGTCATTATGTTGCTACTGCCACAGAGCAAGACATTCAACTTGCTTTTCAGGAAATAGTTTTCAAGATCCTTTAGATGCTAAATAGTTTCCTGTACTTTTAAAATACTAACTTTGGCAGACATGAGTGGAAACAAAAAGGTCAATATGACACAGCCTGGTAACATTGCACCTCCCTGCTTGAACCTGCTTTATCATGGGCAAATCTTACATCATCAAAAAAAAAAAAAAAACAGCCATAATGTGTAAGTCATGAGGATGTTGTAACTGTACTTTTCCTCATATCTCTTTTTATCAGAAAAAACATTGGGGAATCAACATGAGAAGTTATTTCAGCTAAAGAAAAAATCCAGAGGCAAATTGTTGCAGCTGTGAAGATTTTATAAATATCAGATGATGTGAAATGTCTCTTTAAAATGCTGTAGGAGATTTGTTTGAAGGAAGAGGGCTGAAAATTAGCGTAGTGGAGGAATTAGAGACACGTCAGGAGTCTGGCTGCAGTGGGTATGAGAGAGCAGCGAATGGGGCGAATTGGATAATGGAATTATAGAACCTTCTGGAGAATAGCATTGGGCACTTCCAGTGTCTCGTCCTTCACAAGGACAATGTCATAAGAGTCCATGTATTTGTCAAGGTGCTCTTCTACCTGCAGAAATAGCAAAAAACTTGTAAATAAAGCACATTGCTTGATCAACACAAAGCACAAACGACCATTTCAAAGCTTTTCTGGCAAATTTGAGACAGCTCTATTTCAAAAGCAAATCTTGTCAGATCAGGATTGGATTATCCCACATTAAATACAGATACTTTACATCTTTGGTTTCTTTCTTCCACTATAAAAATGGTAAAAAAATAAAAAAATAAAAAAATAAAAAAATAAATAACAATAAGAACCAAAGACTTAAAACCCTGACTTAAAACTATATAAAAGGTGAAAAACAAAGTGTCAATTTTAAAATTGTTTAAAAAGTGTAATGTGAACAATCAAAGACAAATAAGGCCATTACAATATAAAGCAATGGAGGAAATAAATCTACTTTATTTTAACTTTTTTTCTGACAAAACAGAGAAGAGAATAAATTCCTGGCAAATCAAATGTTTTTCAAACTGTTTTTTCTACACAACACAAGACTTGTAAAAGTGATAAAAGTATAATATTGTACTTTCACAGACTTTTCAAGAGTGCACATTAACTATTTACTGGTCTAGGAAAGACAGATATTGTCTCAGCACAAGTTTTTTGCCACATAAAACATGTACAGAATTATAGGGGAAAATAATTTCTTAAAAAAAAAAAAAAAAAAACATAGAAGACTAGGAGACCTGAATATTTGAAGGATTAATGGCTTTACCTTGTCATTGAGGAAGCCGACCTTGAGCATGTTCTCCACATTGGGAACACCGTCGGCCATGGTGAGGTCTCCCATCGAGTCTCCCAGCAGGATGATGTTACTGTAATCCCTAAGCTGCTTGAAGTAGTCAGTGTTCCGCAGTGCACCGTCGTGTTTGTTGTACACATGGATCAGCTCACCTTTGAATCCCTTTAGCACCCCCTGCAGGACAAACATCACTTGAATTCAGAGTTGACAGAAATCAGATGATTTCTGAATGGTGAATGCATCAAGCTGTTTCAGTACATCAGCTGTTCATTCACATTGCAACAGAGAGCTAAATTTTGGCAGGTGCCGCATATTTCACCATTTTTCTCAAAGCATTTTTGTATTTAATGAGGAGAGGCCTTTCACAAAACATCAATTCACACCCATATTGGAGACATTTTGTTGAAATAATAGGGCATGAATTCATTCCGAGTAAATTTCAGTACCACCAGAAAGAATATATGACAGCAGAGTTTCTGTTTTCCACCCTTTTGAACTTTCAACTTCTCTCACTTTGGAAATTGATGAAATTGGAAACGTTGGAAGCATTTTGTAAAGTCCAGCATTACTGCAAAAGTCTATATTTTCTTGGATATACACACGTATATATAAATATAGGTATTTCTGTATACTCTGGCAGCCAAGCAACAACTTTTTGTTACCAAATGTGGAATGACAAAGTAAGTCTAAGTTTATAAATCTGGGACTGGTGTATTTCTTCTCATGTTTAGCTGTTTAATGTGCCAGTAACGCAGAAAAAGATGACTTACATTGTCATCAAAGTCCATGAAGTTAGAGACGACCTTGATATTGGGGTGGTAAACCCCAGCCTGGCTGATTACTTCCTCCAGCACATCCCCCAGACCCGCAGAGAAAATGAAGACAGGCACGTTGTGCTGATGCAGGCGATGAAAGAACTGCTCATGTCCTTCTCTGCAACAAAACAAGCAATCAGTTTATCCTGCTGTCTGACTAAGTAAACAAATCCACATAGAGGTCTCACACATTCACTCCATCTGATCCTCTGGAGTTACCTGAGGACGAGGTCAGACTCCCTCACTACCTCCGGCAGTTTGTGCTTCTCTAAACGCTGCTCAACAAGCAGTGAGTGGGACTTAAAATACCTGGAAACAAACACATTGTTAGGAAAGTACAACTGTAGGAGCTATGAAGGCCACAAGTCACATGATTTGCAGGCGCCTGAATTACCATTCCACCATAAAAGGGTACTTCTCTTCCATACTCAGGTGAGGATCAATCTCAATGGGATAATATTTATGCCTCAGCTGCAGCAGCTTCTGCTTGCACTCCTCTGTCACTAGTTTGCAGTTATCAATAACATCTATGCAGAGAAAAGATAAAAATTGATAATATCTGTTTCCAGCCTGATTCCAATGTAGGTGTATGTATTACCTCAAAATGTAATACTTACTGTGCAAAGTCGGACAGCGTTTTCCATTGACAGCAAATTTGCTTATTGTCATGTCAAAGTCTGTGATGACCTAAAATGTCCAAAAATCATTTTACTTGTCAGAAGTTCGGAGAGGAGTTTGATAAAACAGGCATGAGAAGAGAAAACCGTGTCTAGGAACAATTCAGCAATGTTTTAAAGGAGAAGGGGTAGGTAAGATGGAGCAAATATCAGGATTTGATGATGTACCTGGAGTTTGGAAGCTCCTCCTTTAATGAGGCCACAGATGATCTGCTCCACCCTCTCAGG